CTAACGGTGTTGATGTACTGTAACTTATTTTTACCTATTTCATTTTGCTTATTGTACATCTTGAATTTGTCTATTTCTTACTTCTTTTCTGCATTCAGTATAACAATGTTTATTTTGAAAAAGAAGAGCAAAATGAATGCTTGGGTTTTTTAAAAAAATATTGATAGATCTGCAAGAGGACGTAGTAACATATGGCTTAAAATATCTATAAATAATGCATGTGTGTGAAACAAAGAATAGGAGTGTGGTTCGTGATGTAAATCACATCCAGGATGCCTGCAGAACTTTTTTGATTTTTTGGAATTTGTGCATACTAAATACAATGGCCTTGTAAATGAAGCAACCACAATACATATATTTTTCAATGAACATTTCATAAAACAGCATGAAATGATGAACTCCCACACAATCTAAAGAGAATGCAAACATTACAGTTAAAATGAGTAGGAATACCAATGCTATGTGCTCCTGCTTAAAGCTTCCTGTATTAAAGAATGTAACTTCCACGAAAAATAGCACGTAGGATGGAGATAAGATACCAAATGTGAATGTTTGATTGGATACAGATTCAAATACCTGCGAATGTTTGAGTCATAGCCTACATTTGCCCTCTCTGTGCCGCTTGCTAAACCCTAGATTTCCATTTTCCTGGGATGCCGACATTACTTGCATGGCACACAATTTAGTGTTGACTGGTTGTGTACAGACATCCACTCATGTGAAGGCTGGGTTCCAGAGAGTCATCTCAAAATGCTGAAGGAGGGCTTGCTACAAACAGGCATATGCAGCAAACACCTGGCTTACCACCTGCCTATTGGCTAAACCGCCAGATGACAGAAGAATTAAGGAGGCTCAGTGACAAAAGAATAAAGAAGGTTACAGGGTGTAGACTCAGCAGCTGGGATATTTTGCCTAATTGAATGCCTTAAACACGTGTACTCGGGAGGAAAGATACACGCATTTCACAATTTAAAACCAACAGTCCCTGAACTCCTATGTTTCATCTGAAATGAGATTATAATCCAAATTACTTCAAGGGGATTCCACAAAATGTTTCAGCATAATACCACAGTGGCAGATGAAGGTTAATGGTACCACGTGCCTTTCCCTGTTGTTTTTTTGCCTAAGCCAGCACAGAATCAGAAAGTGGCATCTGTTTATTTGTGTGTATTCCCTGAGCTTAATTATAACAAAGAGAAATGAATTATGGAAAAAAAAAAACTTAAGAAATTAAATGAATCATAAAATTTGGTGCAGGTTGGAAAGGCCTTAAATATGTAAAGGTAAATTCACATATTTTTCTGCCCTCACAAGACAATTGTCTGCTCCCCAAATGTTGGAAGCAAAAACAGCACACATGCACACACATGTACATACACAGAAAGCGTGGCCACATGAAGCAGCCATCTTCGGTATGTACATCTTCCATTATAGGACTGGATGAATCTAATGTGAGTTGAACTGGCAGCCTCCTTGTGACCTCTTCATTATCTCCAGTTTATTAAAAAAGAACTGAATTCAAGATAAAATTAGATAGGAGATTAAGGAAATTTTGGTTACTTTTTAAAAATACAAAGTAGATCTTCGGGAAGGGGTTAAAAAAGAGCCGATTCAGATTGTAGGGGGAAGAAAGGGGAAAGCTAACTTCTTGCCTTGCTACAATCTTCAGGAAAACTCTTGCTATTCCAGAGCTGCTATTTACACTGGAACAAAAAGTCCTAAAAGTGCCAGTTAAGGTCTCTCTCAAATGGAGTTTCAAAGAAGTGATTTGCATCAGGATCTCTACAAAAAAGAAAAGGTTCAGCTCTGTTCCTTGCCTGCTACCAGTACCAATAATAAACTGTTTGACTTCACAATAGCTATAATTTGTGTAATGTACTGCATACAAATAGCAAATGCAAATATTGTCTCTAATTTTTACCTTTGTTTTGTGTTATTTACTTTTATCTCATCTTTATTATTTTACAAATCTCTCATGGTGTACACATATCTAGCACACGTTCCTCCTCCTATTTTCCCCACAATGACTCTATAAAGTGGGTTGGGCTGAGAGAGAGTGACTGGCCCAAAATCACCTGGCCAGGCTTTCATGCTAAGGCCGAACTTGAACTACAGTGTCCCACTTTCTAGCCTGGTGTTTTAACCACTAAGCCAAACTGCCTCTTCATCTACAAATATAGTATTATCCTATCTGAGCAAACATCTGAATAACAAAAAGGTAGTCGCAAAGAGACAAAAAAACCTCCTGCCTTTTGCTGCCATTTAGCATTTGTCCAATTTTTTGCATCCTAGATCAAGTATTTGCATCCTAGATCACCTATTCAGAAACTAATGTAGGAGGCAGCAAGACTGTAGTTCCAGCACAACAAAAATGCTTTAAACAAAAAGTTATCAGGCCACATACACAAATGATTGGATTCTTAGTGCTGTTTCTCCCTTTCTTCATTCTTCTTGGGAAAATTAAGCTTGAGGATTTGGGGGGGGGGGTTAAGAAGGTATTACAATAACTCCAGTCTTTGTGAATGAATAAAAAGGATAGAAATCAACCCCAAGTCCAAATTGAATGGCATAGTGGAATGCAATGCTTCCAAAGCCACCTTCTCATTTTTGTATGTTTAATTCTGTAGTGTAGGAGATACAACATTACTACTTGTATTAGACCCAACATTAAAATGCTATTTGTGGGCAAATGGCAGATAGTGGATGAAAGTCAGAAGAGGGTTGCATTTGCTGCAAATACTGTACATAAATATGTGTTACAAAAATGCTTTTTCTTTCAACTACATAGTGTTCACCAACTTTGTCATTTTTCAACAAAGCACTGCGTATTACATTTAAATCTGATGAGTGAAAACATGAGATAATGAATGCTCATGTCAGAATTTTATAGTTTATTCTGTGAGTTGTTAGTATATTATTGTATTTATTTGCTTCACTGTTTTCATTCTTTAAATTTTTTGCCGCTAATTGATTAAATAAATATTATTGATTGGCTCAGTTTAGGAAAATTATGCAGCTGAATAATTACACTAATATGCAATGGGCAAAACTATTTAAGACCAATTCTTGGGTCTCTCATTTCTTTATCCTTCCAAAAAAAAAGATGAGAGGCTTGGATGGTAAGACAGATAGAGAACACAGAACAGTGATGGCTTCAAAGAACAAATTGCAAACAAGCATAAATAAACATTCCTTGAAACAACATTTTTATTAGAAAATTAAATAGGATAAAGGGTTTAATATTACAAGCCCCTACAAGAATGATTTCACTCCCAATTCTACTTCTTTTGTGACTTATTTTGCAACCCAACAAGAATAAAAATGCTTAAATGAGATTACAGTGATGCCCAACCCTTATCTGCTGAGACTCTGATTATGAAGTGCCTATTGCATGTTTATCCATGATGCCCCTGGCCCACCCCTTCCATATGTGTAACTTGCAATCCAGATCTGTGATTGAACTGGTTACAATGCATAGCCAACTTCATGGGATCAATCTGTGCTATGAGTAAGTCCACCTGAAAAAGATACTTGCCAGGCTGCATAGAGAACCGAACCACATAGATACAGTTGGGTGTCTGATGTGATTATTATGAAATTGATCTGGGACACAAACATTATTAAGTTACATCTGATTCCAAAATTATGGATTTCATATGTGTGTGTTTTTCCCCCTGCCAACATAATACCTTCTTTGAAGCAGTAGCAATTTCTATTCTAAGAAGTCTGAAAAGAGCAGGAGTCTCCAACCTTGGCAACTTTAAGATTTGTGGACTTCAACTCCCAGAATTCCTCAGCCAGCAAAGCTTAAATCCACAAGTCTTAAAGTTGCCAAGGTTGGAGACCCCCTGTGATACAGAGACTTTCATTTTCTCAAATGCAGTGAGGAGGTGAAGTCACCGACCAGAGGTTTTACCTCTTTTGGAACACCTCTTTGAAAACAAATGAACTCATGAGACAGAGATGCAAAACCTGTGGTCCTCCAGATGGTGTTGGATGTCAGCCTCCAGCATCCCTCATCATTGGCCATGCTGGCTAGGGCTGCCAAAAGTTGTAGTTCAGCAACTTCTGGAGGGATACAGGTTTCTCATCCCTGCCATAAGGCAAAGCAGCAGCTGCTCAAGCTAATTGTTGGCAAACTCCTAATTCAATGCTTACAAAAAAGCATTTGTTTTGCTTGTTCCTCTAGCAATGAATAAATTATGTTACCATAACAATCTTTTTCAGAGTAAAACTGGACAAAGTATTATCGAAAAAAGAGCTGTAATTTTATAAATACTAATATAGTAATTCAGTGCCAAGATAACTGCCCCTCACACTGGACTAGCCATATTTTTTTCTTATTGTACATATTGCTAATCTTTAACCAGCATCTTGAGTTTAATTTAATAAGGTGATACATCTGTACCTGGCCCAAAACCATTGCAGACTGCAAGCATAGGAGTGTGCCAGTCTAAGTGTGAAGTGTCATTGATTGAAAGCTTCTTTGTGTAAAAAAAAATGCCAGCATTTCTCTCTACTAAGTTGCCTATCTGGAAAGGATCATTTGCATGGAATGCCGTTTCCTCATGGGAATTCCAATTTGCAAACTGAAGCAGTATAATTAAGACACAGTTCGCCATTTGAGATCCTGGTCTTGGAAACAAAGGGAAAAAAATTAGTTTCCATTTCATCCTTCAAGTGAAATAAAAGCACCATCCCACCTTGAGTTGGTGCAGTTAAGCATTGGCAAAAAGAGGTAGTTTGACTAATATAAAGATCAACTTGAAAACTGGGTGTCTTTCATTTAAGCAGGAAAAACTATTTTCCATAAAGCTACTTAGTACACTCTTATTTCTCCACCAAAAGATGGAAAGTGTCATTAATGCTTCTGCTTCTAAAAACAAATAAATGTAGTGGTACAAAAAAACGTCAGAGGAATCAGAGCTAATCTATAGTCCAGGGAGGATGAGAACCATGAAAAAATCTGTCTTACACAATTTAAGTGGGGAAACCACTAGTCTGTTTTACATTTCTCAGGGTGCTTAGTTATACCAACTGATCAACTGATCAGCTAGTGATAGATGAGCCTCTTGCACTGTTGAGCTATAAATACATCCTTAATGACATTACATAATATAAAATTACTTTACATCAAAGAGAAGAAAACAGTTCAAATTACTTGTTTTAAAAAACAAAACAAAGACATTACCTTGGAGAGAAATCTGACACTTCTGCCAAGAGGACAGAAGTTGCCCTGAGATATCATCTTGTTTTTAAAATTAAAAAATAAAACCTGGGATGGGGCACAGAAATGGTCCTCAGTCAGCAAAAGAATGTCGCATGTTAATCTGTTGATTTTTCCTTCCTTCTGTCGTCAGCCTAGCCTTTGCTTGCCCCGTCTCTAATAGTAGCAGTGAAGGAAGACCTAGCTTAATTTTCTTGGAACACAAAATAACTCGCCTTGCAAAGAAGCTTTGAACAACAGCAACACCCATGAGGACTCCATTCTAATACAGCAACTTTTTTGTAAGGATTAAAAACAAGAAATATAACTGCTGTCTCACTCTGACATAGAGAATACAGGCAAGCAACGTTCTGATCCTAGGATAGTATTAACAAACAAACAAAGAATACATTTGAACTTGTTTCCAAAGGAAGCTGTCTGCCCATTTTGGTATGATTCACCACTTTTGAAGCATAAAAACATTGGATGTTATTGCAGGAACAAGTTTCTGCTATTGAGGATCCTATTGATGTAAATAGTGCAACTCAAAAATGTTCAAGTCTCAAATATATTCACGCAAAAGTCTAGCATTCTGTAACAATTCTTCTTCTTTGTACACCTTCTTACAGCAATATATATTATTGAATCCAGGACATGGTAAGTCCAAAGGAAGTCTGGGTGGCCATTTGGCTCTTTCATCTCTGGAACTGATGCTTCAGGTCATCTTTTTCTTATGTCATGATCCAAATCAGAAACATTTCAAGTATTCTAAAGTAAAGCTCCAGTGCCTGCCTGTAGATCAAAGGACACTGACAGGAATCCATAGCAAACAGAACTTTTGTTTCCAAGGCAGGAAGAGTTGTTTTTACTACTAGTGGCTTCTCCCATGATTTCCATTTGGAGACAGAAAGGTTTAATACCCATCGTCATCTTCCATATCACAGCCATAATCTAAAAACAAAGGAAAATTATTAGATGCAGTAACATCATCACAAGATAGTCTGCCACAAGCTAGACAGTTCACTCTGGGGAGAGAAATAGTCCCTACCAGCATACTAAACAAATAAGCAGGGAAGTATAAAACCTACAAATAAATAAAAATAAATAAAATAGTCAACTAAAGCACTCGAAAAGAACCAAAGCTCAAAAGTGGGTCACCTAAGTCACCAAGTGAATAAATTACTATAACTGGTAAAGTATCAAATATATTAAAGGTGTAAAGGGTTCTAACAAAATGTTTTATTAGGAATATTTATGCTAACTAATTCCTAAGTATATTGGTCATTTACTTCACAGATTTTTCTATTATCCCCAGCTATGTAATCTTACAAAAACTAATCCTACTTACCTGCTTTAGGAGCTCTTATGAAACCTCTTTTTTATTTTCATCCCATCTGATTGGGCACCAACTTTTAGTTTATGTTATTCAAATATATTTATTCCTTATGCTAACCTTATTTTTTTTTAAATGCCTGAGTCAGTGTTTACTTCTAGAGGTGGCCTGGACTACTTCCGGCGATCTTCTTGGCGAGATTTTCAGAAGCAGCTTGTCACTGGTTTCTTACCAGAGCTCAGAGAGAATGACTGGCCAAGATCATCCAGCTGGATTTGTGCCTTAAGCAAACCTCACAGTCCCCCAGTTTCTCATCCAGTGCCTTTAACCAAATTAACCTTTTATATAAAATTATTTCCCAAAATTACAGTGGTTGCAGTGCCCCTGCAATTATCTGATCAAAATTGGGTAGCCCACCTATCCATACAACCACAGAAATGCTTCACCTCCCACTACCCATCTCCTTCCCTGCTCCCATCTCTGCCCTTTTGGCCATCCTACACTCTTCTGATGCTCCTACCTTGATTCCACTAGCTGAACTTTGTCATCTTCTTTCTCCTGCTGATGAGGTGTGCTCAGCCTGATCCTTCACAAGGCTGATGCTGGCTATGCAAGGCCTTCTTCCTGAGACTGTACATGACCATCCTGTGAGGTTCAGAAGGCCTCACACAATTTACAGAAGGACATACATGACTCAGGAAAGGCCCTGAGTAGCCAGTAGCTGCCTCACAAAGAGCAGCACAGAGAGAAAAAGATACAGAGCTGGCAAAGTTCAAGGTAATAGGGTCTCTGAAGTGGGATGACTGGCCATGCTGCGGGACTTGAAACCAAACTACTTTCTTGCAGCAAATACAGACATGCAAATATAGGGCACAGTGTTTTGGTAATGCAATTATAATTGTATATGCCAGAGGAAAAAGAGCTCCCTACAGTTTATGTACTTTCTTTCCACTCAAATCAAGGCAATGTGTTATGATTATTCTATAGTTCCTGCACAATAGTTGAAATCAGCATCCACTGCTAACTTAAAGGTATTGAGAAACTTACACAGTAAATAATCAACACTCCACCCAGCCATCTCCCCATGACATTGTCAGATCTCACAATTAGTATATTCCACATCAAAGCATTGGCTATATGTACGTTTATGTTGTAATGAAAGCTTTAATACACAATCATATTGTAGTTCAAACAGAGGTATACCCTTAGTTCTCCTACTGAATATTATTTACTGGCTTTGGGGAGAACTTTTATGCTTGTTATTTATGCTTGAAAACCAGAGGCTATAATCCATTTATGAAAAAACATTAAATGTTAATTTATAATCTATATCCTTGTTCACTTAATTAACTTTTAAAAGTCATTTGGAGTACAGAGTTAAGAATAGAAACCAAAGGTTCGTATTCTACATTCCAATACATCTGTCAAGCAAGTTCTCTACAACAAAACCTGCCTCCCTTCCATTGTCATCCCAGTTGTAAAATATGATAAATATAACTAAAATAAATAAATTTGACCTGAACAGTCCCACAGGATTTTTCTATTAAATTTGTTGGCGAGAGACAGAGAAGAAGCAGATACAGAGATATTTTCATGTGAGACACCATTATAGACCCTTTGGGAAGTGGGCATCCTCTTTGTTTGTGGGGGCAGAGATGGTATTCCACAGGTTCTGACTAGTTCTAGAGAACCGGTAGCGAAAATTTTGAGCAGTTCAGAAAACCGGGAAATACCACCTCTGACTGGAGATTTTACAGTATCCTTCCCCTGCCATGCCCACTAAGCCACGCCCACAGAACCAGTAATAAAAAAATTGGAATCCCACCACTGGGGGAGGGGGTGGCCATAAGGTACATTAGACAGCCTACCGTTTCCTCCCATTAGTTTAAGGGCGCTCACACAATGATCCTCTTCCTCTTCAATTTCTTCCTCTTCCACCTCCTCCTCATGATTATAAGACACTGGCCCAGTTTCCACCAGCACCGTTCCTGATTTTTCAACCTTTTCAGTTTCTGTCTGAGTACTTGGAAATACTGCCTATAAAGGAAGAAAAAATATTTTTAAAAATCCTCACCCTTTCCTTAAAAAATCTTTTTTTAAAAAAAAACCCAAAACCTTAAAAATCCAATTAAGAGCTTGTTTTTGTCATTCCATCAAAGCTTCAACTTAAGAAAGTGATATCCCAGTCTTCTCCAAGCTTGTGCCAAGTAAATGTAGAGGATAATAAACTCCATTCTACTCAGTCAGAACAGCTACAGCCATATGGCTGGAAGATGATGGAAATTGTAATTCAACACATTTGGAGAGACGTCAAGTACAGCAAGGCTATTATAGGTTTCTTGAGGAATATTACTGTTGTTTGTTATTCTGATATTTCAAAATACAGCTACAATGGTCTGAAGATAACTAAACATGCAAGAAAGCGAGCCTCTGTAAATTTAACTTTAGCCAAAGCAGTCTGATGCAAGAAATCTCCTTTATGTAAGCAGAACATTAAAAATGATATGCATAGCTTCTAATGGATTAAACATTATTCAGCTGTAATTAGAAAGAGAATCAATAACTCATTATGCAATTTTGCATCAAACTGTTTAATTAGAAGGGCCTCTTTTCAATGGAACAATGCATGCTTTGAATGCAAAACATCTCAATTGCAATCCCTGGTATCAAAAGAAAATAGGACTAGGAAAGAACTTTCCGTGGGATTTTCGAAAGCCATATTTCAATTAGAATAGCAATAGAAATCAACTGGCAAACCACTTGATGAAACAGAGCATCAACTAATATAAAAGAAAATGCAGAATATGTTAGCCTTCAATTCCAGCCAGCAGTCATACATGATGAATATTGTAGTTCAACATCTGTCTTGATCTCTCTAGAGTAAACCATACTGTACAAATCGTCTTTTTATGTTCAAAAGAACTCAGTCTACATTAAATTATTATACAATGCCAGCAATTTGGAAATCAACAGAACATTGCTGAGGTACATCACATTGTTCAAAAGAATCTCTACTACCAATAGGGAATCTGATCTCTATAGGCTGGCTAATGAGCAAAACGTAAAACTTTTCTTAGGAAAAAAAAAACCTGTTAGATGCAGAAAAGAAATAAAATTTTGCAAGCAGGTTCTGACATCAAATGTGAGTTTCCTCCACAAGAATCAAGACCATGCATGGTTTCTGGAGCTCCACAGACTGCAGCTCCCTATCGATAGCAGGGAAAAATATATATTCAACAACCAACAGATTCTAATGAAGACACAGATATTGCTTATGGTTTGAAATAAATAGATCTTGTTTATTGTTCTGTACAACAATAGTACTTAAAAGCAGCCTATAATTTAACAAAAGTTTGCATGCATAAAATAAGATTAATTTTGTCATCTATCCTCACACTGAGGAATGAGCCATTTTGAGGCAGGGAGAGATACCGGTTCAAAAATAGTGACATGCAATCACTACTAGTAGGTTCCATGCTTCAACCACAGAATTTAAATCAAAATGTGACAAAGGCTGTTGCTGTAACTTTTGTGTACATTTAATATGTTACCATAAGAAATTACCTTTAAATTATAATGAAGTGTGTCACCTAGTCAGCATAGATATTATTGATTGACTTTCTTTACAGAAAAGATAATATGAGAATGAGTCTCAGATTGCTGTTGCTGACTGGGATTCACCCAAGACAAGGTCTTTTCCAAGAAAAATCCACATTGTCAGACTTGGACCATTTGCTGTGCTGTTGCTTCCACTACACTTTACATCTAAAACTGTGTAACTCCAGAGATTATTTGGGAGAAATTGCTTTGTTGGCCTGTCTAATGCTGCATAGTTAAATTAATTTAGATTGTACTCTGTTGTGATATGTTGCATTATGCTATAGTTTTGATTTAATGTCATTAGCCCCAAAACTTAGTTTATAAATAGATATATAAAGGGAAAAAAGATAGTTTATAACAAAATCCAGAGTAATCATATCACTAGCCATATAAAACTGAAATGTGAACTCTGCTCTTCTGCTCTAGAATATGCTTAGCATAAAGCTGAAACTGATTCTGAAAAGAGAAGTGTGATGACAAAACTTTCTAGATTCTGAGAATCAAATAAAGTTCAGATCAATACTATACCTCTTCTGTGGCCAGCTTTTTGGCTAGTTGAGTTGAAATCAAGGGTCTTAGTCTACACACAAACAAACAAACAAAAAGAGTGAAAAAAATGTTAGGTTCTTGATACAGAGCAGAAAGAAACTTAATTCTTTTATTTTGAAAATGCCACATATATAAGTGAATATACAGATCCAACATGCTGTACTCTTTTGATATCAGCAATTTTTATGCAGAGCACAGATAAAAGAATAAGAAATGGTAATAAAAAAGAAATTGAAGACCAAAATATAAGAAAAAGGAGGACACAGTTTTAATACATTAACTCTCTGTACTGTATTGTTCTATCATTGGTCTCATTGAATCCATACATTGCCTTTTGCTCTTTAAACTTCTTACCACTCTTTTTTAACAATCCCATCAACTCTACCTAATGCCTATTTTCTTAACTTCTCCTTACTTTTAACCAACTCACTTTTCTTTCATTTATTTGTGTTGGAATTCATTCCCCATTTATTTGTGTTGGAATTCACTCCCCATTCATTCTTTTTTAAAGTCAAACCATCTCAACCTACTTTATCGTCACTAGTCAATAACTTCTGCTTCCAAATCACATTCAACCAGCGTCCATTCACTGATTCTATCTCTTCTTGTTTTACTGTACACACTTTATAAGTACCCCATCTCCACTGCATTTCCATTTTCCATTGATGTACCAAATTTTCAATAGTATTTAACAAAGTAGGCAGAAGCACACTCTACTCAGTCATTTTTCTTTTTTTGATAAACTTGCTATATACTGCATATTATCCACTACTCTCTTACTAGCATTTATTGATATGTTTTAGAACAAATATTGGTTTCTCAGTATGTGAAATATTCCCTCCAGTTCAACTATCAAACATAATAAGTTTTGTACTTAATACATCACTTTCAGATCCATACTTCTCATCATATAATCTAACAATAACTGCAAATTATTCAGATTCTTAACCGATCTGGTATGGATTTGTATGTGAGAGTGTACTGCTACATTAACATCTCAGACTAAATATTTTTTAATTGAAGATTCCATTTGTATTTTATTTTATTTACAAATATACCGAACTACTAAGTGGACATCACAAATTCTTCCTGATTGCTAGCTCAATAAATATTCTGCTTATTTTCAGGAATGCCTCAGCTCAATTGTATATCATTTACAGCATTCAACAACCAGCCTTCAATCCCATTTTCATGCAAAGCATTCTACTGTATAATTCAAGCCTATTACATTATCAACATTTGCTTTTTAGTTATGAAATGTGTAATAAACATTCTGATCTTCCAATGACCTGTTGTAAATTTCCTGCCTGGCACAAATTTTATTTGTTTTCTTGTTTGTATACTCTAAAATGACTCCTGGTAGCTGACATCATTAAAATAAACATATTCATAAGACATATATATAAAATTAATACTAATTAAACTATGAACCAAGACCAGCATCCATAGTTCATGTGACATATAAAAACATTCTACTGTGTTAATAGCATTCCTGTACACCAGCAGAAAGGAAACAATTCACATAGCCAGTGGGAAGTTATTTCAAACAAAAGAAGTAAAGATACTGTAGTCTTACTTCATACATGTATGTGTGTGTACATAAGCATGTACAAGGGGTCTGGAAAGGCCATCTCTTTTTGAAGGTAATGAATGAGGGGAGACTGAGGAGAATATTTGAAGGGGTGTCATTCAAAAGAGGCCATGGACTTATTCTCTACTGCCCCAGAAAATAAGAGCACAAATGAATGAGTTAAAACTATAAAGTTCAGGTTAATGTCAACAGGAACTTAACAAATATGCAAGTTATCAACCAGTGAAATAGCTACTAAATGAAATTATAAATTCTCCTTTATTGGAGATCTTCAAGCAGATTGGATGGTCTCCTGCCAGACATGTTTTAGTGAATCCTACACTGAGTAGGAGGATGAACTAAATAAGGTCCTTTGCACCTTCAAGATTTTATGATTCTATGAGGCTGTCTTTGGCTTCTATAAGGAAGGGAAGCCATAACGAATACAATACTTTGAAACCAGTACTTTGGATTGAATTTATTCAAAATGCTTCATATTTTTCTTCAAATTCATTTCTGGTTCTTCCATTATCTCCACCTACGGCAACGTAAGATGCAAGTATTAACTACCTATTAATTAACTATCTAGGCAGAATCACATCCGATACTTGTACAATCAGCACAGGGGGCCCCCAAGGCAGTGTGCTATCTCCACTTCTCCTTATATACCAATGACTGCATCTAAAACAATTCATCTGTTAAAATACTGAAGTTTGCTGATGACACAACAGTGATTGGTCTCATTCGAGACAACGAGGAATCTGCATACAGATAGGAGGTTATACAACTTGCTTCGTGGGGTAACCGGAACAATCTGGAACTGAACGCACTCAAAACCGTAGAAATGGTGGTAGACTTTAGAAGAAACCTTCCCATACTACCACCTCTTAAAATACTAGACAACACAGTATCAACAGTAGGGACCTTCAAATTTCTAGGTTCTACTATATCACATGACCTAAAATGGACACCTAACATCAAAAACGTCATCAAAAAAGCACAACAAAGAATGTTCTTTCTGCGCCAACTCAGAAAGCTCAAACTGCCCAAGGAGCTGCTGATACAGTTCTACAGAGGAATTATTGAGTCTATCATCTGCACCTCTATAACTTGTCTGGTTTGGTTCTGCAACTCAACAGGACAAAGACTTCAGAGGATAATTAGGACTGCAGAAAAAACAATTACTACCCACCTGCCTTCAGTCGAGACCTGTATACTGCATGTGTCAAAAAGAGAACTGTGAAAATATTTACAGACCTTCACATCCCGGACAGAAACTGTTTCAACTCCTTCCCTCAAAACAACGCTAGAGAGCACTGCACACCAGAATAACTAGACACAAGAACAGTTTTTTCCCTGAAAGCCATCACTCTGCTAAACAGGTAATTCCCTCAACACTGTCCAACTATTTATGAGGTGTGCACTACTATTGCTGTTAATCTTCTCATCGCTCCTTATCACCCATCCCCTCCCACTTGTGACTGTAGGACTGTAACTTTGACGCTTGTATCCTTACGATTTATATTGACTGTTTCCTGGTATGATTTGATTGTTGATCATACCCTATGACTATCATTAAGTATTGTACATTATGATTCTTGATTCTTAATGAATGTATCTTTTCTTTATGTATACTGAGAGTATTTGCACCGAGACAAATTCCTTGTGTGTCCACACTTGGCCAATAAAGAATTCTATTCTATTCTATTCTATTCTATTCTATTCTATTCTATTCTATTCTATTCTATTCTATTAATTCATGCCTTCATATGTACTCACTATAAAACTTAGAAGACCCCCAATTCATATTTTCCAACATATTTATCATTAAATTTCTAACTTTCATACACTGCATGTCATTCACAAGATCAGAGCTATTAGCAATAGCACTAAGACTTATATACCGCTTCACATTGCTTTACAGTCCTCTCTAAGCAGTTTTCAGAGTCAGCATGTCCTCAATCACATCCTCATTTTACCAATCTTGAAGGGATGGAAGGCTGAAATAACATTGGGCCTGGTGATATTTGAACTGCCAAATTTCAGGTAGCAGAACTAGCCTGCAGTGTACTCTACTGCGCCACTGTGGCTCTATTAGCTTTATTACATCTTTCATAATTTCATAGTCTCATTTCAATGTATCTATTTTCCCTTCTTTTTCTCCTTTTTAATTCATGCTCTTTTTATTCCTTTTACATTTCAAGTTGCAATCTTCCATATGACATACCTGGCAGCAGGTGGATCCACAGATATTGATCTCCACCACCTCTCATCTATTTGATTTAATCTAGCCTTTCACAGATTCACTTACATGAGATGGGTGGCCATACAAAACAAATCAAAATAAAACAATTTTGGCCAAAATATCACAACTGAAAATGTGATAATGTGGCTAACTATGGGCACATCAGCATGCCCATATTACATCTTCTCCATGAGCTGCACTGATTTCTGGTATACTTCCAGATGGAATTCTTGCTGTTAGTTGATACTTACAAAGCATTTTATGGCATGGGACTGAGTCATCTACAGGACCACTTCTCCGCAATTGTTTCTATCTGTCCCATCAGATCCACCAGAACAAGCATGCTATGGGTCTGTCAATTTAAGAAGTCATCTTGCTGGACCCAGAAAACAGGCCCTTGGAACACTATATCCTCCAAGAATATATTAGCTCTAGCCCTTCTGGCCTTTCAGAAAGCAGTGAGGACCTACCTACATGTGCTCCAGGGTGTGTGTGTGTGTGTGTATCCCTTTTTTACTCCATGCGTTTGTTCGGCCATTGTTAGCTGCTTGGTGTCGCTATGAGATGGACAGCGACATAAATCTAAATAAATAAATAAATACTGTGTTGTCTGATTGGCCCAAGCACAATGTTGACCAAATCAGGCCTCCTGATTAGCTTCCTGGTGCTTTTATGTAGAAAAGTTATGTCACAACAAACTTGAAAGGCAGTCTTTGGGCAGATCTATCACTATCATCACTAATTAGAACTTCCCTCTCACAATGGAGAACCAAGGTGAAATCATTTCCTCCCCTTTCAGTCACTGAAAGGCAGTCCAGAGGATGTGATGGTCAGTAATCCTGAAAGCCACTGAGAGTTCAAAGAGGACCAGGATTGCAATCTGTACTCCAAGAGTCATCCATAAGCACAACCAATGCAGCTTCTATACTGAACTCTGGCTTGAAGCCCAATAGTAAAGGATGTAAAACTCAAATATAAAACGATTTGTTGAACTACTAGCTTTACGTGCAGAACCTGTACAAAATGAAAAACAAAGAACAGAAAACAAAAGGATACTTTGACAAGAATTATTTATGAACAAAGGTCACATAACCACAGCTCAATAACAACTATTTCATAGTAATATCTTGGCATGTCACCCAGAAAAAAATCTTGTTTCAATGACAAAAGAACTGCATTATTCCTTTATAACATGAATAACAACAGTTTTTCAATA